TACAGGTGTCTGGTGAAAATGTCAGACCAGTAAAGAAAATTGAAACCCGTACTGAAGGTAACTGAGGCTGGTAAGACAAATTATTCAGTATTGAGATGTAGTGAGGTTTGACAGAGATGACGGATTTGAACACCTGTAATGAGTGAAGGTACATGAGCACTGCGCGCACACACACAGCTCAAAGGTTGCAGACTACCACACTAATATTTAATTTCCCTGACCAACAGCCTGTATTTGTTAATGGAGGAGGACAGACAAGACACACTGTGTGTAACGGCGCTGGCCTCACAAGAGCCCCTCTATGAGACTGCCAGATGGGACACCAGTTCAGTCAGCACAGCGTTTAAGAGGACCCAATCCCAGCTCTTGCTGGGCAGGGAAAAGGCAGGCATAAATGAGGGAAAATAAACTCCCATTTTCAGATTTCAAAATACGGTCATGGAAAGGCTTCGCTGTTTTTCTGACTTGATCTACTCTCTGCGATGATGATGAAATGTGTACTAACGACAGCTTCACCAAATTGACCCTCTGAAACTGTCTACAGTGATGAACATCACTCTATCCAAAGCACAATTCCTTGGAAATCTGCCTCTGTAGACCTAAACTATATGTCTAGTTGGACAGTAAAGTTGTACAAGCCCATCCTGGCATGAAACTAAGCAGAGATGTGCATGTTTCTATATGAAAAAGAAAAATATGCTGAGCTGACTAGCCTTTAGGCTTACTGGCCTATGTCTACTCAGACTACTTAAGGGCCTATTATAAGTGCTTAATAAATATGATTATTACAATACCACATCAGTCATTGAAACCTATATTGCCAGATAAGCTAAAGCTTCTCCATTTGACATTCCCCAGTAGTGGAGTGTTTTGTTAGAATATACGCTCCTCCACAGCGCTCTAGGCCAGAGCTTGGGAGAAGCCCTCCCTGCCAAGCATTCAGAAAATGCTTGGCATTCTGATAGGCGACTGTGATACCAGTCCCTGAGGAAGAGGAGTGTGAGGAGTGCAATTTATCTATGTTCTTATAGGCTTACATGGGGCCCCTCTGCTGTTGCCTATGTGTACTTCTGAAGTGCTAAGAGCTGATGGTTCATTTTAGTTTCCACACTCCTCTTTGCTGTTAGGGGGTCAAAGCTGAGTTGGGATGAGCAAAATATTCTGCATTTTGAAAAAGTTCTACGCTTTTCAACTGAAACAATACCTTGCTCTTGTTAAAGCTTTTAGAATTCTTTAAGATGAGGCTTGTTATTTTTCTTCCATCTCTGTAGATTCTGAGATTACACAGTGTCTGAAGAAACAAATGGCTTTTACTTGCATGGCACATTGGAAATCATTCCTACTGGTGTACATTTGTTGTTTCAATATACTCTTTTCTTGTGAAGTCAGGGGAATAATTCAGTGCAGCATAGGGAGCGTTTCTTACCATGATCTCTATTCTTAAATGATAACACCAAGCACCTAACCATGAATTATTTTGTCAGCGAGCATGAGTGGTTGTACAGTTTCTACTAATTCAAATGCCTATGAGTTGAAGCTAGACTTCAGCTCTCTTTTCATCCAACCACGGGATGTTGTCAAGACAACCACAAATGACAAAGGGCTTTCTCAGTCTATTCAGCGATATGAAAGAGAGGCTGTTTTGTGTGATGGAGATGTGATAACACATGCAGTGGGTGGTAATGTATGCAGCCATGGCACAAACACATGAATAAGCATGTTTCGACACAGCGTTAGCCTCCTCTGATGCCAATACAAAGACATGCATTATCAATATCCTATTGACGTGATGCTAACCGCACCATATGGTCTGAATAAAACATATTGACACAATCGCAACAATCCTTCTTTAATCCCACATTTCTGTTGTAGCTACTTCTGCTCTACAGAACCTTTTCAAGTTTGTGGCACAGAAATGGGGAAAGAGTGTAAAAGAAAGCAAGCTAGAAATCGAGGAAGAGATTTTAGTTTTCCCTTTGTTATTTTCTGCATTCACACGCTCCTCTGTGTTCCGATTTTGCTCACATCAATCCCAGAGGAACCCCAAGTCAGTAGTGTTGTCTGTAATTTAGTTGGAGCAGTTGGCTTCTGTCCTGGTGCTGTAGCCACAGCAGTCAGTAGGACCTGACCACCAACCACTTACTGGCCTCTCTTCCTCCCATCATTCACAACCATTCTTCCAAAGGGTCATTATTTTACCATAGTGTGGGTTTGAAATGTATTATTTGATCCTATCTTAATTCACCATATACTTAAGTTTTAACACCAATATATCTAAGTATATGTATAATATAGCCTATGTATGAATACAAAATCGTCAACCCCTCCCAGAAACCCTTGAAAGCACTTCAGCTGCCTCCATCCATCATTCTTGCGGAATGCTGTCTCTTCACTGTGCATATAAGACTACTGTGCTGTATCTATCTTGCGTCACACATGATGTTTGGGTTGATTTCAGACTCTATAGTCAACTGTACTAAGTTCTTCTGCACCTTGCTTCCCGCTGACAAACCACCTCCAGAAAGGCCTACATGAAGGGTCCCGTTATAAGCCAGACTGTGTGAAGCTCTTTTTACAAGGAAGTGGCTTTATTCTCCACCCGGTCAGAAAAGCCACTTGGTCAGAGAGGGCTGAAAGGGACACTATTCCCACCACCGGCTACACACAGACTCCCTTTTCAACACCGGGGACATTTTAAAAAGAGGGAAAGAGAGACCCTCTGTGCGTTTGTGAGAGTGGTTTGCTATAGACCTAAAGAAGTGGACGGAAATGGCAGAGGGCCACGTGTGTGGACATCCGCCTTTGATGATATTAGCTTGCTTACATTGATCTTTGTCTACAAACATTTTCTATTCTATACCACTGTAGAAATCCCATCTGTGACTGGCCGTGGCTGGTTTTATTCACTACAGAAAGACCCTCAAGGTCTGACGATTACACCCTATGCTGTGACATTTATGTGTAAGATTAACTGTACTGTAGTTGGATTCTGCCTCGTAGTCATGAAACGATGAACTATGATGGCTGTGTGTGTTCATCGTAGTCTGTCATAACTCATGCAGACGGGTACAGTACCATTTGGCCGCGTTCCAGAGGGGGAGATTTCAGGAGCAGCAGAACAATGTCAGGCCTCCGAGCCTGAGGCGCGTCTCATTCAGACGCCGCCTGAAGAATCGCACGCCTGTCTTTTTGGAGGCATTCGCTGCTGACCTCACATGTTTATGGGGTCTTAGCGTTCAGAACCCTGTCACGGATCATTAAGAGTTGAACGTTAAATGTGCACAGCAACCACTTTCAATGATTGATAAACATAGAGGGGAGTCTCTGTGCGTAGAGCTGTAGAGCTCAGTGGACTTGGCTGTAGTGTAGTGGGATTGTAAAGCCCCGATCAGACCCCCAGTGCTGCTGACAGCCTAATAGCCTAGCAGTAGTTATTTATAGGTTCCTTGGACTGCACCAGGGCAGAGCCATGCATTCCAGACACGGCCAATGAACTCTGGAGATTGTTGGCTCTGCATGCCCCTGTTACGGAGACCCCTCTCCTCCCATCTTACTATGTTTTATCATTACAACCACTACACTTTTACTTTAGTAGTAGTAGTAACAAAGTGCTACATTCTTTTTACAATTTGGGCATTTGGCAGACTCTACTTTTCCAGAAGTACTTACATTCAGATTGATGGTAGATGTATTTGTCGTTATAGTGACCATTCAGCTGAAGAATCTTGTTAAAGGTCACTGCAGCCATGATAAGGAAGGGGAAAAATGTGAAGGATGTAAAATAAATATTTGAAAATGAGGCGACTTTTTCTTTTAAGTATAAAAGGAATGACTAGTAATGGTGGGTTCGTTTCCCACGGGGGGCCAGTATGAAAATGGATGCAATCACTAACTGGAAGTCGCTCTGGATAAGACTAAAATGTAAAATGTTTCCCAGTCCTATACTGTTACTAAGAGGAAGTTCCCATGACGATTGGTCCCCATGCACTATAAATATCAACAGTGGAATGTCAGCCGGTCAAAGAGCAGGTGAGGACAGCAGACCAGTAGCATGGCTGTGTTCTCTATTGTTCCCAGGCCTCACAGTGCAGCTGTGTATCACAGGCCACTCGGTCTAGACTGAGACTGAGTATCAAGGACAACAGTGGCAAGAATAGAGGCCCACAAATAGAGATGTTCTTGATAGGACTAATGGCTCTAGAAAGTGTTTTATTCCCCCATACTATTCTTATCTCTCAAAGCACCCCTATTCTGGACATAGGTTTGACTCAATAAAACATGATGCACATGGAATTATGTATGTATTTTTCATGGACTACCCTGTGGCAGTGGGCCTGGAGGTTACCGTCCAAGAAGTGACAGACCTCTTATCCCTCCATGAATAAGTAAAGAGGGGTCTGACTGAGACACACTTACTGTGTCAGAGCAACACACCAGGCGCATCTGCTCCAGGACCACCAGCTAGGGCTCGCCTCACCCTCTTATGCCCCATCCTCATGCCACTGGCTACAGAGACATACTGTAGGACTACTGCACTTAGTCATTCTTGACCTCTCACCAGGGGGGAGGGTGAGGACGGGGGAGAGCTGCTCAATTATTGAAGGGGTTGCAGCTGTAAAAGAGGACTTCCACAGGCCAATTGATTCACTGGGGTAGTGAGGTGACGAGTGACAAGTGTCTAAATGGAGAATGAGCACCGTCACTTTAAGGCTCATGTGCTGTAGATGAGTGGCAGGGTGGCAGGTTCTTGAAGATGATCCAACCAATGTTGTAACCCCTGATGGATTATTGGGTGGTATTAGATTGTAATAATATGTTTTATTTTCTCTGCAGGTGTAGTGAACAATAATGGGTTATGTTTGCGGATGATCAAGAGGAGTCGGGCGTCTTGAGCTTAACGTCGGACACATGGTTAGACATATTGTATAGATATCTATTAATACTGTTTTTGTATAGCAAACTTGATGTAGAGCATTTTTTTACTATTCTTGTGTTTGCAGAATATTTGCCATGCCACTTGGGATGGCTCTGATCTCAGCCCTGCTCATCCTCCTACTGATCACCACCTCGTACTCCCTCGACGTCCGCACTTATCCACGCTTTTCCAGAAATGACACTTCTTTTGAGCACCTGGTCCTGCACCCGGACCCCTCTGTGGGCACTGTCTACGTGGGGGCCAGGGACCACCTCTTCCAACTGGACGGCCTAGACGGCCTGCGTCTGGAGCATGAGGAGAGGACCGGCCCTGTGACTGATAGTAAGGAGTGTCTTCCCCCTGTCACCGAGGCCAACTGCCCCCAGGCCCGGCGCACCTCCAACCACAACAAGCTGCTCCTAGTGGACCCCTCAGCCATGGAGCTCATCACCTGTGGTAACGTCCACCAGGGCACCTGCCAGAAGCGCAGCCTGACCTCTGTGAAGGAGGTGCTGTTCTCCACAGAGAGGCCGGTGGACACCCAGTACGTGGCGGCCAACGATCCGGAGGTGTCCACAGTGGGGCTGGTGGTGGGGCCCCGAGGCGGGGAGCGGGCCGTGCTCTACGTGGGGCGTGGTTACACAAGCAGCCATCCGCCCATCTCCACACGCCATCTGGCCCACGAGCCTGTGTTCTCTTACGAGGAGACGGCCAAGCTGGCCGTAGCGGGAAGGCTCTCGGAGTACGACCACCATTTTGTAGCCGCTTTCGCTCGCCGTGGGCATGTGTACTTCTTGTTCTATCGCCGTGACATTAAGGCTGTGTCGCGGGAATACCGTACGTATGCTGCCCGTGTGTGTCTGGATGACACCTCCTACTACTCCTATGTAGAGGTACCGCTGGTGTGTCACTCCTCCTCTGCCTCCTCCCCAGAGAGGAACTACAACCTCCTGCAGGCGGCCCAGGTGGGTCAGGGGGGTGACAGAGAGGGGGAGGCCCTGCTGGGGGTCTTCTCCACCCGGGTCAGCTCTTCCAACGGGCCCTCCGAGGACTCCGCTCTGTGTGTATACCCCTTGGACGAGCTGGACAGACTCATCGACTCCACACGAGACCTGTGCTACACGCTGGATGGCCAGGTGAAGGGAGGAGGCGAGGTGGCCTACATAGAGTATGAGGTCAAGTCCAGCTGTGCCAACTTACCTACGGTAAGGTGTTCAGAGGAGCAGCTGTTGTAACAACACATACACCTTTCATATGAGTCCTCTGTTTCATCGGAATGAAACAAATTTCAATGTAGGTTTCCTCTGCTCAATGCCAAGCATTTGCCCTATTTTTCCTAACATCAGGGTACTACCAATGGAATCCCTTATAATCAAGTTAAATCTTACTTATTCTCTATCTTCGCTGCTGTAATGGCTTATTGGCTTCAGCAGTCAGGAAGATGAGTAGATCCAGCCTTAGCTCAGAGCAGCCGTAGAGAGAGGAAGGCCAGTGATTCATGAAAGGCCTTAATGAGCCCTGTGCCAAAGAGCCAAGAGATCCCTGATGCCTGGGAGGGAAGTAGCCCTGCAGGCCTACGACCCCGGGGTGACCTCCAGCCTGGAGCCCCGGAGCTCGTCAGGCCTGCCTGCCCTGCAGCCTGGAGCGGTTTAATGGGATCGTTAGGATCAATAAAACAAACTGTCCCGACTCAGCTATCGGACTGGTAAATGAAGGCTGACATGGATGGGGAGGAGCCCTTTGAAATCCAACAAGACTGACAGACGGATTGGAACAGAATGTTCATTAGGTAAACAATTTGCTTTAAAGTAAACAAGCCCTGGAACAGAAGACTTTCCAATTTACTGGAGTTGGGCTGAAGACTTATTGGTAGGGATTTAAGGGGTTACGCGAAAGCAAAGGCGCAAGATTGCATTCTTAGTATGCTTCCCATCTGATATAATATTTAATCCTCTTATAAAAACTAAGAGGATTGGTTGGACTGTGAAAGACTTCTACATGAAATATTACTGAATGAAAGTGAATAATAAAATAATGAATAACCATGTTCCTGTGATAATGTGAATGGAACAGTCTCTGAGAGATGTGTTTTGTTTGTTCTCTGTGTTCCAGAACACCCTAAAGGCTTATCCCTGTGGCTCTGACCACACCCCCAGTCCAATGGCCAGCAGGGTACCCATGGAAGCTGAGGCAGTATTGGACAGCCCATCTGCCCGTCTCACTGCTGTGGCTGTCAGTGTGAGGGCTGGGCACACCATTGCCTTTTTAGGAGACTCTAAAGGGAATTTGCACAAGGTATGCCAAGTTACAGTAGGTCATGAGGCAACTTTTGTTAATACTTGAGATCTAGATCAAGAAAGCAGTGTTTCAGACATCTACTCTGGACATTGTCTGGTAGCCTTGTTAAAGCTGTGGTCAGAGCTGGTGGGGGAGACCTCCTCAGACAGAACAGAACAGAGGGCTTTGAGGTGCCTGATCAAAGCTCCCTTAGTTATGCAGCTGACTGAAGTTACCCATTTATAAAGGGATTTTCTCATCAATGCACACCAAATTCCACAACCACCATCCAGACACACACGTGCACATGCATGCGTGAACACACACATACACACACAATGTGGGTACCACATGCAGGTTTCTAAATCGAGTGTCTTATTTTGTCAGCTCGCTAAGATGTGCGGACAGAAACTGCACTTGACAAGCCATTTGTTTCCTGCTTACAGCACTGAGATCACTGCACAGGTTTATGGAGTCTGACATAAAATCTATGCTAATCACATTAAACTCAGGTAACTTGAGAGTTTGAGGGCTTACGAATCACTTAGGCAAAGGTGTCTTGGTATCCTCCAGATTAGATTTACTGACTGACAATCAAATTAACTGTTCTCTTCACAATACGATCCTGCAGACAGTACAAATGCACCTTTAATTTGCTTTTAGCCACATTCTAGCCAAGACTTCTTTAGCCTTTTCACTTCTCTTTTTCCGTTTTTAAATGTACTGTATGTGCTGAGTTTTATAACCTTGACCACTTGGAAATGGTTGATGGTTTTCGACAGTAACCATCTGCTTCTCTCCAGGTGTTCCTAGGCTCTGGAGGCAGGGTGGAGATGTACTCCTCCATGCTCCTCCAGCCCAACTCGCCCATCAGCAGTGACCTCCTGCTGGACCAGACGGAGACGCACATCTACATCATGACCAGCACAATGGTTAGTCTGAGTGAACATAACACAGCTCAAACACATCATCACTAGCTAGCTACTTGACTCTCCTAATACAGTCTAGGGTCTTCAGCTGGTGCAGGAATGCAGTGAAGTGGATCAATAGTAGGTACTGTACAGGTGTGTTGTGCATTTATGACCATGCAATTCACTGTCTGGCCAGGCATTGGCACTGCCTGATGGTACTTCAGGGCGGGGGCGGGGGGCTATAAAAAATATATAAATGATCGAGCACAATTATATCACCTCTACGGCTTCATTGTCCATGTATAGCACAGCTGTTTTTAAGAAAAGGAGGTGGGTAACCTTTCAGGTGGAGAAGCGACCGGTGGCAGAGTGTGGAGATCACCTGGACTGTCAGTCCTGTCTTTCAGCCCGAGACCCTTACTGTGGCTGGTGTGTTCTGGAGGGCAGGTGAGGAAGCACCAACTGACTATTTTATACCACAGAAAATAAAGTTATTAAGAGCTCAAAAATATAGGAAGAGCAAAGGCAAATGTCAACATTAACGTATGATCACCTTCCTCATTTCTCACTTGTTCCTCTCCTTTGACCTGTGCTCCACCCTTCAACCCCACTTCCCCCTGTGATGGCAGGTGTGGCCAGCGCTCACAGTGCAGTCGGGGGGCTCTGCAGGGCCAGTGGTTGTGGAGCTTTGACTACCAGCAGCAGCAGTGTCTCGGTATCCAATCCCTGAGCCTGTATAACATCAGCCGTGGAGAGGAGACAGACGTAAGACATGAGAGGGAGGGAGATACAGTACTTTGTTTTGAGCTTGAAAGAAAAAATTATCACCCTTTGACACCCTGTATGTGTCTGTCCTTCTTTTTCTCTCTCTCTCTTTCGAAGATTGCTGTGTCAGTGAAGGGGTTGCCCAGTCTAGTGCAAGGCGAAGCATACAGCTGTTTCTACCAGGATGTGGAACGTCTGGCCACTGTCACAGACACTGGTGTGACCTGCTCTACTCCCGACGCCAGCAGGCTGCCTCCCATTGGCCAGGGAGAAGGTGAGTGACATCAGTGTGAGACCAATAGGACACTACAAAGCAGAATGATTCCTCTCTCATTCTTAATGATTACCAGAGCTAACTATCCTATTGGAGAGTAGTGTAATTTAGGGATGTTCTGACTAATGTTCTCTCCTCCTCAGACTCAGTCACCATCCCCCTGTCCCTTCGCTTCCTCAATGTGACAGTGGCTGCTCGGGAGTTCACCTTCTTTGACTGTGGTGTGGTCCAACAGCTCTCTGGACTCATGCCGTGAGTTAAAAGGCTGACATTTCTAGCCACAATGCAATTGTATATCTCCCCCTGTTAACCTGTCACTGTCTCCGTCTTCTCTCTGTTTTCAGGTGCAGAGGGTGTGTGAGCAGCCGCTGGGGCTGTAACTGGTGTATTCACCAGCACATGTGCACCAATAAAATCTCCTGTGATGAGGGAGTCACAATTTACAACCAACACGTAAGTCCACATACAGGTTATCAGGCAGTGCAGTTACAGGACTGCTAGCCGGTACATACTATATCTACCAACCAGTGTATTCAGGTTTGCTTTGTAGTGAAACTGGTAACTGCCCCCTAGGTAACTGGTAACTGTTAGTTTGTACGTGTCCTGTCTATTTATGTTTTGTCGTATTCCATTGTCTCTGTTTTAAATGTGTACTTTTTTTAGTAAACGTTTAGTTTTTTTTTGTGATGTCAGTCTTTATGGATTTATTTGCATATATTTCATTCATATTTACATCATTTAGCAGACGCTCTTATCCAGAGCGACTTACAAATATGTCTTGCCTATCCTCTTGTTTTACCCTTGTCTCCCTCCTCTCCCCCTCTCTGCTCATTGTGTTACCATCTCAAGTTCAAACCACCAACATTCACTCCCCCAGCAACCAAACAATCTGACACTGTAACTCCAACTCTCCCGGCTGCTCCAACACTCCCACCCACAGAGACATCTGTTAGAACCACTCCCCCAGTCACGGCCAGCACACCTGTACCCCCATCCACCACACCCACCACTCCCGAGCCAACCGCAGTCCCCACCACCCTCTCACCAACCATCGCCGCCACCACCACACCCTCAACCACACTGGCCACTCAGGCTACCACTGCAACACTGGAGGTGACAACCAGTCTGCAGGCAGGGACACGGACCACCGCTGGAGAGACCTCAGTGGATAGAGACAGGAGCCTCCCCAGGACTACTGTTGGAACAGGGGAGACAGAGCAGACAACAGTCACCAGGGTTGAGCTGCTAGACTGGACCGAGCCTTCAGAAACTGTGGCTCCTAGTAGCACAAATGGACTGACCGACACTGACCTCACTGTGACGGAGCCCTCCTCTGACCCCACCTCTAGTGGTGTCCCCCTGTTAATGGACCTTCCCACTGGCTCTGACGGAGATGACGTCCGCCTGGCCCCCTCTGAAGGTACAGACTCACCCCCCTGGACTAAGGAATGGGAGAAAGGGGAGGGCGAGACAGAGATGGACCCTCCAACATCCTCTGCAACAGTGCCTTCTGGAGATGACCAAAACCAGCCCTCTCAATCCTTTACCCTCTCACCTGACCCTGACTCTGACTCTTCACCAGACTACCAGTCTGACTCCTCTGAATTTGATCTGCCGGTGAGTGGGGTTTTCACTGGCAGTCTAGCTGATGCACCCAGTACAACACATGCACTGAATCGGATAAGTGCAGTTGCATTGGCATCGTGTAAAATAGGTTATTCTGAATTTGATCTGAAATTCCTACCCTTTTATTTATGTCATCATATGTCTGATGTGTGCAAACATTGCATCACCATTACGTTTTGAGTGTCATTGAAATTGTCAACTGTCAATACTTTGGAGATGAAATCATCAAAAAATGGCTGTCTTCAGTTTGAACTAAACCTGCTGGTGTTTTTTAACACTGTCAGTGTTTTCTTTATTTTTTTATTTTATTCAGTCGCATATTATAGACTTTTAGACTGTGGAGCAACATTTTGAGTGATAATTGCTGAATTGTTCTCACAATAAGTCTAGTTTAATGATTGAAATTGATGAGACCGCACCTGAAAATGTAAGATGGTGTTTTGTTTGATGTCATATGTCCCCTGTGTGTATGTCCTGTAACGTATGTCCTATGATATGAATAGGACTGCCCGTGTGTGGAGAAGGTCCTGGGCTCCTCTCTCGTTCCTGTTAATGTGGACCGGAAGATCACTCTGGTGGGACGCCACCTTCACCTCTTCCAGGTGTGTGAGGAATGCTTGCAAAACCAAAATGGCTGACGGTTTACTTTACACGAGATGCATGTTGTGTAAAACGTGTGTTTTATATATTGGTGTGTGCATGTGTCCGTGTTTGTGTTCAGGATGAGGATCTGGACTATGAGTGTGTGCTGACCATCGAGGGGCGGTCAGTGGTGGTCGACGCGTACGTGGAGCCAGACGACACCCAGCCCTCTCTCTACTTCATCACCTGCCAGCTACACCAGGTCAGTCTTTATTCAATAACAGCCTATGTGGTATTGCAACAATGCTGTTAATTTGAACAGCGTTTGTCTGCATGCTGTTTCATGTTTTTTTGAAGAGCGATATTTCAACTACTTTTGCATATTTTTTTATACTGAATTATCATATCTTCAACCAAAACCTAATATTATATAATGGAACCTGAGTAAACAAATACATATCTATTTCATTTATTTCATAAACAAAGTTATGCAACACCCAATTCATCTGTGTGAAAAAGTAATTGCCCCCTTATACTCAATAACTGGTTGTGCCACCTTTAGCTGCAATGACTCCAACCAAACCCTTCCTGTAGTTGTTGATCAGTCTCTCAAGTCACTGTGGAGGAATTTTGGCCCACTCGTCCATGTAGGTCAGCAGGTAGCTTAGTGGTTAAGAGCGTTGTGCCATTAACCGAAAGGTCGCTGGTTCTAATCCCCAAACCGACTAGGTGAAAAATCTGTCTGTGCCCTTGAGCAAGGCACTTAACCCTAATTGCTCCTGTAAGTCGCTCTGGATAAGAGCGTCTGCTAAATGACTAAAATGTAAAATGTAATGTAAATGTAGAACTGCTTTAACTCATTTGTGGGTTTTCAAGCATGAACTGCTCATTTCAAGTCCTGCCACAACATCTCAATTGGGATTAGGTCTGGACTTTGACTAGGCCATTCCAAAACTTAAAATGTGTTGCTTTTTAGCCATTTTCATTTAGACTTGATTGTGTGTTTTGGATCATTGTCTTGCTGCATGACCCAGCTGTGCTTCAGCTTCAGCTCACAGACGGATGGTCTGACATTCTCCTGTAGAATTATCTGATACAGAGCAGAATTCAAGGTTCCTTCTATTAAGGCAAGTCGTCCAGGTCCTGAGGCAACAAAGCATCCCCAAACCATCACACCACCACCACCATGCTTGACCTTTGGTATAAGGTTCTTACTGTGGAATGCAGTGTTTAGTTTTTGCCGGGCATAATGGAACCCATGTTGTCCAAAAAGATATACTTTTGACTCCCCTGTCTATAGAACATTCTTCCAAGAGTCTTGATCATCCAGGTGCTTTTTGGCAAACTTGAGTCAACTTTTTTTGTTACTTGTAAATTCAGGTTCCCTTTACCTAATATTAGGTTTTGGTTGTAGATCTAATAACGTTCAGTATCAAAAATATGCAAAAATAGAGAAAATCAGAAAGGGGGCAAATACCTTTTCACAGCACTATGTGGGCAGCTGAGATTGTGGACACTGCTAAGACTGCCTTATTTTTGTCATGTTGCAGTATGCCTATACTGCCTTTGCAGAGGAGTACAATGCCATGATCAATGTGAAGAGGAGAAACACCTTTCAGATTGATAGTGCTGACGACCTTCATGGTAGGTTATAGAGGAGACCGCTATTGATATAGATCTCATTGAGATTCTCTATTCTTCAGATTATGTGGTGTTGATGATTCCTGGTATCCTCTCTGTTCCAGTGACGTTGTTTAACTGCTCTGTGGGCCGGTCAGACTGCAGCCGGTGTCGTACAGCTGATCAGAAGTACGGCTGTGTGTGGTGCGGGGGAGCTCGCTCCAGATGCAGTTACCAGGACTCCTGCGCTGGCGAGATCAAGCAGTCCTGCCCAGCACCCGTCATCCACTTAGTGAGGCTTGATTTGAGACCTTCTCTTTTTATGGTTGATGTGTCTTTAGACATTGAAATGGACTCGTTTTTAACTTCTCTGTGACTGTGTGTTGCAGATTGAGCCCATCTCTGGACCAGTAGAAGGTGGTACTGTGGTGACCATCTCAGGCTCCAATCTTGGACAGAAAGCTGAAGACATCCAGAACTCTGTCACAATAGCTGGTGTCCCCTGCATGGTCATCAACAGTAGATATGAGATCTCCTCAAGGTAATGTTCTTCTCATACAACAACGTTTATTTCTTCTATCTTCTGCATCTCTAGATGTATCTGTGTTCAGAGTAAGAACCTGCTTTAATTCTCCATTCTCCTGTAGGATTTTGTGTGAGACCACAGCCAGTGGGGGAGAGAAGAGTGGCCAGGCCTCAGTCGAGGTGAGAGGAGGAGGACTTGGACTCTCCGGTCAAAGGTTCAGCTTCCAGGTAACTATAACAGACATTATTATACTCCGAATGGACAATACTTGCCCATTCGTAATGCCCTTCCTCTTCTCCTCAGGACCCGGCTCTGATTGGGATAGCCCCTCAGAAGGGGCCCAAGGCCGGGGGCTCAGCGTTGACCATCATGGGCCAGAGCCTGAAGACTGGACACCCCAGTGAGGTCAGCGTGCTGATTGGAGGAGTCCCATGCCTCATGTGAGTCTCTTACGCATCTGTTACATTCAAAATCACCAGATCAACCACTGTAAAGCAAGTGGAGTCTGCACTGCATATGAGAATGCATACATAATTTGTCAATTTCCTTAATAAAGTCCTGTAACATGCTGTAGCAGTAGTTGAGATATCTGGTTAAATTAATTCTCTGTAGCTCCTCTGAGGTCGTGGATGACCAGATTACATGTACGACCGGGGGCAGCAACAGAACTGGAGAGCATGGAATCACGGTCCGATTTGGTAGAGCAGAGCGCCATCTACAGGGAGCGATCTATCATTACACCTCAGACCCTAACATAACCATGGCTGCACCCTCCAAAAGCTTCCTCAGGTGGGTGTCACAATGTCACTCGCAATGAATTGTCAGAAATACCAATAAATCTTCTTCTCTCTGTGTGTCCAGTGGTGGAAGAATGATCCGTGTGTCTGGACAAAACCTGGATGTAGTACAGGAGCCCCGAATCCGGGTGACCCTTAGTCCTCTAGAGTCCCTTTCTCCGGGGAGGAGGATGAGGAGGAGCAGCAGAGATGGAGAGAGACGCAGAGAAATCACACTCAAGAGGCAAAGACGGATAGTTCCTGAGCCAGACTGTCCTGAAGACGCACTCTGTATCGTCAAACAGGTAAACTGTATGCAAAGCATGACTAAGTCGTTTCGGATAAAAGGGTCCGCTAAATGGCATATATAATATTATTATTATTATATTAAACTGAAATGTGTGTTGAGTCCTCTAACATGGTGTTCAGATGTCTACTGGCTTAGTTTGAGGGATAGGCACTCTTTTCTTTGATCATGTAGTGTGATGTATCACCTTTTAAAGGTAAAGCTGTCAATCAATCACTGCTATTGCTTTCCCTAAATATCTATAAACACGCTTGTCATCTCCTCTGTCTCATCTCTCCCTCTCCAGTTTGAGACGAGTTGTGCAGTGAGCAGCTCCTCTCTGATGCTGTGCCCTACGCCTGCCGTGGGGACGGAGGCCCACCATGCTCGGGTCAAGGTGGACTTCCTAATGGATAACCTGCACTTTGACTTCAACTCTGTGGGCAGCGGGGCTTTCAGCTACGAGCTCAACCCCAGGCTGTACCCACTGAACCAGAATGACCCCAGCAAACCCTACCACCACAAACCTGGCAGCATCATCTCTGTTGAGGTCTCTGCTACATTCTATCTCTGCTACCATAACAGTTTCTCCAACAGTTTCAGAGCCTATGAGTGTTGTCTGTTTCCTGTCCAGTTGGCTTTCTCCATTATCATTATTGTTATGATCTAGGGGGAGAACCTGGACCTGGCCATCTTTAAGGAGGAGGTGGTGGCTCTGATCGGGGAAGGGGTATGCTCTGTGAAGACCTTGACCCATAACCACCTCTACTGTGAGCCTCCATCCCAGCAGCCCTCTGTGATGGCCAGCAAGAAGCAGGAGGGCATTGATTCTCTCCCCGAGTTCACTGTACGTCTTCACTCCTTGCGTCACCACTGTTGAAACAGAGAGGGCACATGTCTGTGTAATTCGGAATATTATTTAGTTGTGGTGGTAGTAGGGATGACAAGTGTAAAACACTTGATGGTTGAATCTAAGCCTTCCACTCAAAAATCAATTGCTGTCTTGTCCCAGGTCCAGATGGGGAACCTGAACTTCTCTCTGGGCAGAGTGCAGTATGACACCCAAGGCCAGTCCACCTTCCCCCTGGAGGCCCAGGTGGGCGTAGGGGTGGGGACCTCCATCGTAGCCCTCATCGTCGTCATCATAGTGCTCATATACAGGTGGGTGCCAACACAGTCATTCTACTTTGCCAAGTACACCATTTTTATCTGTTCAAAGTTATGCTTGGTATAATGGACGTGAGCTTTTCTGTCTGTCCGTATGTATCTCTGTCAGGAGGAAGAGCAAACAGGCCGTGAGGGACTACAAGAAGGTCCAGATTCAGCTGGAGAATCTGGAGACCAGTGTGAGGGACCGCTGCAAGAAAGAGTTCACAGGTGAGAGAAAGCGCCATAAGCTTCACCATAAGTTCACAAAACAGCATCTTATATCACAAAAACCTAAAGTGGCTTCAAATAAGGAAGGTTTTTCAGGTGTGGGTTACATATGATTTTGCTAAAAAGATTCTCACTATCTCAATCTGGTCTGTTTTCCTCCCTCCTCTGTGCAGACCTGATGACTGAGATGATGGACTGTTCAAGTGACCTGGTGGGTTCTGGTATCCCTTTCCTGGACTACAAGGCGTATGCAGAGCGCATTTTCTTCCCTGGCCACCGGGAGTCGCCACTGAGGCGAGATTTGGACGTGCCCGAGTGCCGTAGACAGACGGTGGAGCAGGGACTGGTTCAACTGTCCAACCTCCTCAACAGCAAACTATTCCTCACCAAGGTAACCTTAACCAACTCTGAAGAAGTGAACTTGAGCTACCGTGCCTCTCAATACCATTCAGACTATAAAACATCAACAGTAATATATAATGCATGCATGTTGTGCTTCACTTTCACTGTGTCACTGTTTTGACCCCTTTGTGCCCCTGTCTCCCAGTTCATCCACACCCTGGAGGTGCAGCGGACCTTCTCCCCTCGGGACCGGGCCTACGTGGCCTCCCTGCTCACCGTTGCCCTGCATGGGAAGCTGGAGTACTTCACTGACATCCTCAAGACTCTACTCAACGACCTGGTGGTGCAGTACGTGGCCAAGAACCCCAAACTCATGCTCCGAAGGTGAGGGGGGCTGATCAGTATATGTTCTCATCAGTCTTGGGTAATGGCAGGCTTTTTGCTGTGTCTTTTTAAAGTCTCTTGTGGTTTTCTTATCCGTGTCGGACACATTCACGTTGATGTTGTTCTGTTTCAGAACTGAATCAGTGGTGGAGAAGCTCCTGACCAACTGGATGTCTATTTGTCTGTTCACCTTCCTGAGGGTGAGTATCTCAGCCTGCCATGTCCCCATTCACCCCCCAGTGTCTCCTCACTAAAGAGGCAGTTAAAGAAACATGTCCCTTCTGTGCTCTGTTATTAGGACACTGCAGGGGAGTCCTTCTACATGCTGTTCAGAGCCATTAAACACCAGGTGGACAAGGGACCAGTGGACGCCGTGACAGGAAAGGCCAAGTATACACTCAACGACAACAGGCTGCTCCGCGAGGACATAGAGTACAAAACCCTGGTGAGAGCACAGCACACACACACCCTGATGTCCCTTTACCACAAATACACAGCTACATGCAGGGCTTTGTTCATCATTATAAAGCAGGGGCTGGAAATAAAGGAGTTGTGCAACATGGTGAAGTAATCAAAGTTTTCAGTGTAGTGATTTAATGAACCGTCATTAACCTTCCAGACGCTGAATGTCCTCATGCCAGCGACAGGCAACGGTGGCGTGCCCCAGACCGCTCCTGCCAAGGTGCTGGACTGTGACACCATAACCCAGGTGAAAGAAAAGGTCCTGGAGCAGGCATGGAAGGGCATGTCCTTCTCCCAGAGGCCCCACGCAGACTCTCTCCACCTGGGTGAGCCTCCACTACAGCTCTCTATCATTCACTGTTCAGTCTGAAAATGTGACATCTTTGTCCATTCTGGCATGCCAGGTAGAAGTGAAGCCAAATAACATTTATCCAAGTTAATGGGCATACTATAAACCTGAAACACCCTAGAATTGACAAAGCCAACAGATTTCTTCCTTGGTCATCAGTTATAATCTACTTTTTTGGTAGCTAATCTTTTGTATTGTGTCCTTGATCAGAGTGGCGTGCGGGCATGGCAGGTCACCTGATCCTGTCAGACGAGGACCTAACGTCGGTGGTGCAGGGCTCCTGGAAACGCCTCAACACCCTGCAGCACTACAAGGTCAGAAACATTAGGCCACACATATAATAATATAATAATATGCCATTTAGCAGACGCTTTTATCCAAAGCGACTTACAGTCATGTGTGCATACATTTTTACGTATGGGTGGTCCCAGGGATCGAACCCACTACCCTGGCGTTACAAGCGCCATGCTCTACCAATTGAGCTACAGAGGACCACGTCCCATCCATCCCTGTCCCCCTTAACTAGAATTACTACATCACTCTAAAGTATTTTTTGTTTACTTTGTTAATTTGATTTAATTATTTTACAAATGGTCTGCAGGTTCCGGATGGAGCCACTGTTGCACTGGTACCCCGGAACTCCAAACACATCCACAATGACAACCATGACTACTTTCCTGGAGAGAGTGAGTCTCAACTAATCTATGTCACATAAGTGCAGCATGGTCATAGGATATTGTTCAGCATCAATACAATATTGCTACCAAATTTGGACAATGCACAAGAGCTACATTTGTAACATAAGGATATACAGTGCATTCGGAAAAGTATTCAGACCCCTTGACTTTTTCAACATTTTGTTACATTAGAGCCTTATTCGAAAATGGATTAAATAAAACATTTCCTCATTATCAATCTACACACAATACCCCATAATGACGAAGCAAAAAACAGAAATACCTTATTTACATAAGTATTCAGACCCTTTGCTATGAGACTCGAAATTGAGCTCAGGTACATCCTGTTTCCATTGATCATCCTTGAGATGTTTCTACAACTTGATTGGAGTCCACCTGTGGTAAATTCAATTGATTGGACATGATTTGGAAAGGCACACACCTATCTATATAAGTTTACCACAGTTGACAGTGCATGTCAGAGCAGAAACCAAGCCATGAGGTCGAAGGAATTGTCCGTAGAGCTCCGAGACAGGAATGTGTCGAAGCACAGATCTGGGGAAGGGTACCAAAACATTTCTGCAGCATTGTAGGTCCCCAAGAACACAGCGGCCTCCATCATTCTTAAATGGAAGAAGTTTGGAACCACCAAGACTCTTCCTAGAGCTGGCCACCCGGGCAAACTAAGCAATCGGGGGAGAAGGGCATTGGTCAGGGAGGTGACCAAGAACCAGATGGTCACTTTGACAGAGCTCCGGAGTTCCTCTGCGGAGATGGGAGAACCTTCCAGAAGGACAACCATCTTTGCAGCATTTCACCAATCTGGCCTTTATGGTAGTGGCCAGACAGAAGCCACTCCTCAGTAAAAGACACATAACAGCCCGCTTGGAGTTTGCCAAAAGGCACTTAAAGGACTCTGACCATGAGAAACAAGATTCTCTGGTCTGATGAAACCAAGATTGAACCCTTTGGCCTGAATGCAAAGCGTCACATCTGGAGGAAACCTGGCACCATCCCTATGGTGAAGCATGGTGGTGGCAGCATCATGCTGTGGGGATGTTTTTCAGCGGCAGGGACTGGGAGGCTTGTCAGGATCGAGGGAAAGATGAACAGAGCAAAGTACAGAGAGATCCTTGATGAAAACCTGCTCCAGAGCGCTCAGGACCTCAGACTGGGGGCGAAGGTTCACCTTCCAACAGGACAATGACCCTAAGCACACAGCCAAGGCAATACAGGAGTGGCGTCGGGACAGGTCTCTGAATGTCCTTGAGTGGCCCAGCCAGAGCCCGGACTTGAAACCGATTGAACATCTCTGGAGAGACCTGAAAATAGCTGTGCAGCTACGCTCCCCATCCAACCTGACAGAGCTTGAGAGGATCTGCAGAGTGAAGAACGGGTGAAACTCCCCAAATACAGGTGTGCCAAGCTTGTAGCGTCATACACAAGAAGACTCCAGGCTGTAATCGCTTCCAAAGGTGCTTCAACAAAGTACTGAGTAAAGGGTCTGAATACTTATGGAAATGTGATATTTCCGTTTTTTATATTTAATAAATTTGCAAAAACCTCTCTTTCCTTTGTCATTATGGGGTATTGTGTGTAGATTGATGAGGGGAAAAAACGATTTAATCCATTTTAGAATAAGGCTGTAAGGTAACAAAATGTGGAAAAAGTGAAGGGGTCTGAATACTTTCCAAATGCACTGTATAACTAGCAATGATATTTTTCATAAGCTGCCCTTCGACTGCATCGGGGTTACCGTATATACTGTACCTAGACTATGTCAGAGATGTCTGACCATGTGTGTCCCTCTGTCAGAGACGCCCATGTTGGACGATGCGGACGAGGGAGGTGTGAAGCTCTGGCACCTGGTGAAAGCCAATGAGGAACCAGACCTGCCCAAACACAGGCGTGGTAGTCTGAGAGAGCGGGAGAGAGAGAGGGCCAAGGCCATCCCCGAGATCTACCTCACACGCCTACTCTCCATGAAGGTGCCAGAACGCACATGCAACGCAACGCAACGCAATGCAATAAACAAGCAGACACACACACACACACACACAAACAGTATGTGTAATATTTACACTAGTGCACATATTTATTCCCATATCTTCCTACTCTCTCTCCCAGGGCACACTGCAGAAGTTTGTGGATGACTTGTTCACAGTGATCCTGAGCACTAACCAGCCAGTTCCCATGGCTGTCAAGTACTTCTTTGACCTGCTGGATGAGCAGGCTCTGCAGCACAACATTACAGACCCTGAGACCATCCACATCTGGAAGACTAACAGGTAATGACTCAGGACTACTACTGGCTCATTTGCTTTTGAACACTGAAGTGTTTCCTGTTCTTTGTAATTACAGTAACCAATACAGATCTGGGCTCGGATTCACAAAACCTTCTTAAGAAGAATGTCCTTATTAAAGGCCCAATGCAGCAGTTTTTATATCAATATCAAACATTTCTGAGTAACAATTAAGTACCTTACTGTAATCGATTTTCTTTAAAATGGCCCAAAATGGCTTTTTAACAAAAAACTATTTCTCAAGCAAGAATTTTGCTAGGACTGTCTGGCCCTTAACAAAATGTACCATGGTAGGACAATTAAAAAAATTCCATGGTACTATCATGGTTTTCTGGTCACTACCATGGCAGGAAAATACCATGGTATTTCCACCAGTACCATGGTATTTTCCTGCCATGGTAGGGGCCAAAAAAAAAAAGTTTATTTTTCATTGTACTACCATAGAACAACAAAATAGCAAGGTTTTGTACTAGCAGCATGTGAAACATGAAAGCATGGTAGTTGTTTACAATGTATTATCATGGTCTGTGTCGCACCATTTTTCAGGTAAAGTGACCAAAAACGTAGTCATTTATAGTACTCACATAATGCAACATTGACTTCTCGCTCTGCAATGGCAAAGCTTAGGCCTAGTGTACCCTCTTAAACCCCTTTAGCTCATAGTGAAAAACTACAACACACATGGTCTAGTAGTGTAGTGTACCATCTTAAACCTTGGGACCAGGAAATGGTATTGTAAAAAGAATGAAGGGATAGTGGTGGAGAGTCATCTCCAAAACAATCAATTCCTCAACTCCTTGCCCGTCGACTCCTATTTTCCTCGACTCCTAAGATTCTGTCTGAGTAGTTGCCGTAGGCTAAATCCAAGAACACAAACTCTTGCATCTTTCACAGCGAGGGAGCGAGAGGGGAGGGGCACAGCCAGGGATAGCTAGGCAAGGTCGACCTCCAGGCAGACAGTCAGAATCATGCATAGCATCGGTAATCAAAAGCTGTATCTCACAATGCTGTATCACGCAATTTCTTGGCTTGCAATGTCTCGCAAGTTCACGAAAGTAGGGGCTATCAATGAGTAGTCTCTTCTACACGCAACAGACGGAACACACACTGGCATCTTTCATAGTGAAGAGAAAGAGCAGGCGAGCCAGCGAGGGAGAACGAGGGGCAGACAGTTGGAACAGTGCGCATAGGCTATCTTGGTAATCTATCTCGCAATGTCTTGTCCTGCAATACCTCATAAATTCACCAAAAGCATTTTAAAGTATATATTAGGCTATCAATGAGTATGGCTATTCTACATTGTGCCAGTGAATTGAAGTTGAACATCACCAAATGTGTCAGTTTAATTAGGCCTAAATGTGCAATAAAAAGTACTGTGCCTGTAGATTATTTAATGAAACCCTGGCAATAGATCGCCTATCAGGTCATCCCCAATTTCCCACTGAGCTAAACATTTGGAAATGGGAAGTTCACTTTCTCATCCAAGTGTTGCAAATACTGTCCAGCAGCTCAAATCAGCAGGATGGGGGGACATTTTAATTAGGAGGGACGTCTACCATGATCACTAAAATTATGATTATGATCACATTAGCAGCAGTGTGCAGCGTTTTACTTTTTTATTTTTCATGAATTCACCTACAACTCCAGCACCTGCAAAAAGTACCTGGATGGGCCTATGTTCTTCAGCTTTTGTATATGATCACACAATTTAAATATTATGGGGACACCTAGGGCTGTTACGGTGACCGTATTCCTGCCACACCAGCAGTCACAAGTCATGACAGCAGTGAAATTCCACATGACTGTTGAGTCACGGTAACTAGGCTTTTCCAAAACTGTGCTCTGATGCCTACCAAACTTGCTAATGGCCAGTACTAAGTGCTCTGTTGTCCCTCTAATCACTCGGACATCAATGCAAATGGAATCGAAAATCAAACACTTCATGAGCGCCCTGGCATTCAGAGTTTGAGCGGAATAGGATCACCTGTTGCGCAGCGAAAACTTTAGGTTACGACTGTAACCCCGGTTCTCTGATAGCACAAGTGAGGTATTTTACTTATGGGATACGCCCCCAGCATATTCGTCAGAAGCCTTTATTACAACATGATTGGCTGGACGTCGAGACGTGTGCGTCGGGGAAGGATGTCCCTCCTACGCTATAAAAGGTCCGATGCAGCGTCTCTGAGTCATTCAAAATTAAGCCACACCTCTTCCTCGCTTATGCAAGGAGAGTGGTTTGTGAAATTCTTCACTCATAATATCAGAGAACCGGTGTTACAGTCGTAACCTAAAGTTCTCTTTCAAGTATTTGTTTCGGTATTTCACTTATGGGATATACTGACTCCCGTATTGCCAGACAAGCTTATCCTGACGACCGACTGCCCTGTGTGATATATCACACAAATGGGCTTTGCCCTTCAGAAGATCCTACACCTAAAACAGTATGCGCCAGGGTCGGTGCAGTGACATCGAACCTATAAAACTTTGCAAATGTATGAGGCGAAGCCCAACTCGCTGCTGAGCAAATATCTTGGATAGATATGCCCTTAAATAAAGCCCAGGATGTAGCCAGCAGGAGACTGAAGACCCTTACTTGTGTAGGCCAAAGCAATAGCCCCCACTATCCAATCGGATAGGTGTTGTTTAGTGAGCGCTTTACCTGTGTGAGGTTTCGCCCAGGAAACTAACAACTGATCACATTTCCTAAATCCCTTAGTCCTGTCTATGTAGATGCGCAGAGCGCGTACTGGACACAACATATGCAACCGTTGATGTTCCGGAGAGGAAAATGGTGGAGGATAAAAAACGACTAGCTCCAGAGGAAGACACATCAAAGATGGGTTAACAATCTTAGGGATAAAGGCGGGGTTAGGCTGCAGCGATGCCTTATTGTTACCAGGTGCAAATTGTGCACATGACGAGTGCACAGAGAGTGCGTGAATGTCACTTACACGCTTGGCAGAGGCCAATGCTAGTAATAGCGCAGTCTTAAATGAAAGCATCTTCAGCTCCACCTGACCCAGGGGCTCAAAAGGCTGTTGGCATAGAGCATCCAAAACACTTGATAAATCCCATGACGGGGCAAGCTGTTTGGACACCGACATGAACCCTTCACCACTATCGTGCTCCCAAAACCCACATGACAAGACTAAATAGTTGCTAGATATACCTTAAAAGTAGTGAGTCCTTTTTCTAATAATTCCTGTAGAAATGACACGCTTACCGGGACAGAGCACTGGAATGGTACTGCCTGTGATCCAGTGCACCATTCCTCAAACACTCGCCATTTACAATTATAAAGGGACCTGGTGGATGAGGCTCTAGCACTCTGAATAGTCTAAATTACATTTTGAGGAAGCCCGGCAGTGTTCAAGTTGAACCATTCACGGGTCAGTCCCCCTTGTCTGTTTATGTAAGCCACAACAGTGGTATTGTCTGTTCTGACTAGAACATGACGACCCTCCAGAAATGAGAGGAACGACTTTAATGCTAGGGACACTGCAAGGAGTTCCAGGCAGTTTATGTGAGAACAACGGAGATGGGGTCCCCACACCCCGTTGACTGCTCTGCCCTCGTGGGTCGCACCCCAACCTGAGAGAGATGCGTCCGTCGTGACTACTGTTTTGGACAAAACAGTGCCCATCTGGGCACCCTGTGACAGAAACGTCCGGTGCCAAGCAGGGGCGCAGCGCTACCATGCAGTCTATGGAGATCTGTACACGGTGATGTTTGTGACGTATTGGGCTCAGACCCAGAGAAGAGACCAAGCGTTGAAACCCTCTCATATTCAAATGTCCTAATGGGATGACTACTAAAGCCGATGCCATCAACCCTAGTAGCCTCAGGCATGTTTTGAATGAGACCAGGTTCCCTCTGCGAAACAGTGCTAGGCAATCTTGGAATGTTCTTATATGTTCCACCGAAAGGCGAGCTTTGAAAGATACCGAATCCAGGATTAAACCTAGGAAAGAGATTGTCTGCGTGGGAATCAGAACGCTTTTTACTGTGTTTATTCTGAAACCTAGAAATGTCAGGTGTTCCAATAATAGCTGACTGTGTTCTAAGACATCTTGTCTCGATTGCGCGCACAGCAGCCAATCGTCTGTGTACGTCATCAGCCGAATGCCCTTCTCTCTGAGTGGGGCTATGGCTGCCTCGGTACACTTCGTAAAAACATGAGGTTACAGAGAGAGGCCGAAAGGGAGCACCAGAAATTCGTAGATTTACGCCTTGAAAAGCGAATCTGAGAAATTTCCTGTGAGAGGTGTATATTGAGAAGTGAAAGTAAGCGTCCTTCAGGTCGACGGATATGAACCAATAGCCTGGGCACGCAGAACGTAGCAGAGCAGTGTGTGTCAACATTCTGAACGTGTACTTCTCGTGTGTTTAGAGCACGTAGATCTAAGATCGGGCGTACGCCGCCACCCTTTTTCAGAACCAGGAAATATCTCAAGTAAAAACCGCAGTGGCTTTGCTCGGGAGGAACAACTCTTATTGCCCTTTTCCCTATTAGCGATGTGATTTCCTCCTGGAATACATGCGCTGATTCCCCCTGAGCCTGAGTGTATATGATTCCCATGAATCGAGGCGGGGTGACAGCGAATTGCAGTCTGTATCCCCTGTCTATCATAACCTGTACCCAGTTTGACACTACGCATGTCTGCCAGTTCTCTCTCCGCTCCGAGAGAGGGCTGACCAGGCTTTCCCCCATAGACGGTGCAACAGCACCCTCTGTCGGGGGGAGGGTGTATGACAGTTCGTGACGCACTGCGCATGTCCGGCTTCATAGCGGGAGAGCACTTATGTGGCCTGTCACCACAGAAGGAGCGGTAGCTCCCTCTGGTGGCGTTATAGGGAGGCACCCTGTTTGTTTAGATTTTTTGAGAAACAACATGTCTGACTGCGCCCTTGGCCTGTAGCCTGGTTGCGCTAGTGTTACATTTTTTAAATGTGAACTGACATTGGAGAGTGTTTGTGAGACAA